CCAGTGCACCGCTCTTGTCTTGAGAAGGAGCCTTCATTGGGGGTCACAGGAGCAGAGAAATCTAAAACATGAATTTCAGATGTGGCGCTCTGTGCCCTTTTTCAAAAGAATTCTAATTTCTTCTCTCTGCTCTGTCTCCCCCTTTTGTAGGTGACTTTTTCACAGACTGCTACGGCTATCATGATTTTGGGTCTTCCTAGAGCGTCTAAAAGTATTGCACACAAAATCAACTTTTTACTCCAATTTCCTCCAACTCCAAAACCCAAAGTGTCCGTGCTGTGTCCCTGTGCTTCACTGGGTTTCTCAACCGTGGCTTTCCACCGCAGCTTGTCTGAAACTCTTAGCCTGCAGAATTTAAGACAATGGCAGTTTTTATCGTGATTTGCCTTTGAACTTGGTCATATTGAAGTTCACACTAAGTGGAAAACAATTTTCTCAGAGAATGTATTTTTGTGCAGACTTGCACAGAATTCTAGAGCCAGCGTTGTTCAGCATCAAGGCAAAAGCCCACCTTTGCTTTTTATGGAAAGCATTACTTTATTTAAAGAGACAGTTAATGATGCATTTTAATCTACCTTTGTCTTAATTTACAGCAGGTTTTGTATGAATTTTTAACCTTTTAACAAACTCCCAAATCTGGTTGATGCCTTTGACAGTGATGAAAATTTCACCACATCTGAATCCAGAGCAACCGACTTTCTTTTTAATCACACGAGCATGTAAAACGTTGGGAATGTGGGGAATTGTACACTGCGCTGAGTGTCCGCTCCCGCCTTTGTAACACTCTGGTGGGTTCTTGTTTGGGTGCGGTATTTTGTGGCTGGTTTAGCTAGAGAGTGAACTCTCAAAGGTATCAAAACTGTGCTTCCATTACCTGTGCAAGAAACAGACAGGCTTGAAAGGGTAGAAAACACGAAATTTTGCAAGTCAAGATCACAGCTGTAAGTGCATGGAGTCCGGGCTTTTTCAATGGGGCTTTAAAAGTGTTCAAGCAGAAAGAGCCTGGTCCGTCCCGGGGCTCTGGGTGAAGAGCGGGGCTGCTGAGCTCACACCGCACGCTCCAGCGGCCTGGACGCTTCTCCTCGCTCGCCTGCAAGGGCGCCGGACCTGTGGCTCCTCACCGAGCCCCCATCTGTTCGTGGGGGCCTCCTTGGATGGTGGGGTTTTGCTTCCACTCAGCACTCGTTTTCTCAGCACAACCTGCCTCTTGGTTGACTTGCAAGATTTTTACGTTTATTCAGGCAAAAACTGGTCAAAACGGTTACTGTATGGTTTGTTCCCCAAGGTTTGAAACATTCAGTGAAACTTTTTAAAACTCTTATTGCATGATGTATTTTTTTTTTTAGAAAGTTATTGTTTGAGAATAATGTCTTTTTATACCAGGAAATAGTTATCCTGAATGACGTTGAAAACTCCCCCTCCTCTTTATTTTTTTTTAATCAATACATGTTAAAGTAACAAGCCCGCCGTACTTGCGTCTTCATTCATTCCTGGCTTCAGGCGGGGCAGGTGGGGCGCTCAGTGCAGGACACGGGGGGTGGGGGCGGGCTCCGCACCGAGCCTCGCATGTTTGCTTTCCTGCATCTCGGTGTCGTGGCTTGTGACGGGGTGGGGGCGCCTGCCTGAAGAACACAGACGCCCGATTGCAGACCAGTCGTGTGGGCCAGGGCCTGTGCCCTTAGCACGTGACACCAGCATGGGACGCCGTGCCGTCTCCGGGGTGGGAGGCGTGTGAGGGCTCCCCATTCACCCTGCCCAGAAGGCCTGGAGCCCTCGGTGCTCTGCCTGGGAGGGAAGGACAGGCTCGTCTCGCCTACCCTGGGCCCAGTGGGCCGGTGCTCTCCTGTCCCTGGGCCCAGGCCCATCTGCCGTGGAAGCCCAGGAGCTCCCTGCCAGGTGCCACACATAGTGGCTGCGCTGGTGAGCTGTTCACAGCCTGGCCTTTGGCTTCACCCGCCCTCTGACTTCATACAGTGCCCCGTCACTCCACTGAAATCTCTGGTGGGACAAGTTTGACAAATCTAGTGACCAGAAGCCGTACCTCGCTGTAGCGTTCTGGGCCTCATGACTGAGCATGTGGCGGACGTTGTGGTGCAAGCTCATCCATCCGTCCCGCAGCTCAGGCTCGCCCTCCCCCATAGCCGCTGTGCTGGGAACGAGGAAGGGCACAGACGCCCGGCCCCACCCGAGCCAGTCCCCCTGCTCCTGAGCCATGGCTCTGCGTGCAGGCAGACCAGGGAGCCTCCCACGCCGCTGGTCTGAGCCTCACCTCGCTCTTCCCAGAACGAGGTCGGAGCCCTTGGTGTTCAGGAACGCTGGTGGGATTAGGGCTGCACCACTGGGCATCTGGCGTCCCGCAGGCTTGTGCTTATCCAGCCTGTTCCCAGCACAGAGGGAGGAGGTGGGGGTGGCTTGCTGCTTCTCTGGGGCTTTGCTTTTCCTGTCACCGTTGGGGACATCTGGGTAGCCGTCAGTCCTGAATGTCATCTGCGCTCGGAGCCCATCTCATTGTAATGTTGACACCTGCTGCAAAAGCTGCTGTCGTGCCGCTGCTTGGCAAAGATCCCTTGTTGTCACCAGCTGATGGGTGAGTGGAGCTGAAGGCTGGGCCAGCCCAAGCCAGGCGGCCTTGTCCAGCAGAGCCCTGCTCTCCTCCGGTCCCCTGCTGCCTCTGGGCGGCGGGCTTGCAGGTCAGCCTTCAGGGCCCACGGCTGCCACCCCTTTCCCCTCCGCGTTTCCCTTCCTCGTCCTCCTCCTGACCCGCTGCCTCCCTGTCTAGGTCAGTTCTACAGCAACGGAGGGCATTCTGGGAATGCTGGTGGTGGCGGCGGCGGGGGCGGTGGTGGCTCTTCCGGCTATGGCTCCTACTACCAAGGGGACAACTACAATTCACCGGTACCCCCAAAACACACCGGGAAGAAACCACCGCATGGGACCCAGCAGAAGCCATCTTACGGCTCAGGCTACCAGTCCCACCAGAGTCAGCAGCAGTCCTACAACCAGAGCCAGTACGGCAGCTACGGCCCGCCACAGGGCAAGCAGAAGGGGTACAACCACGGGCAAGGCAACTACTCCTACTCGAACTCCTACAGCTCGCCAGGCGGCGGGGGCAGCTCCGACTACAGCTACGAGAGCAAATTCAGTGAGTTGGTTCCTGGTGCGCCTCGCAGCCCAGCACTGCCCAGGCTTCTGGCTTGGGGCCTAGGGAGAGGACAGGCATGCGGCTGAGGGCGGGAATCGGGAGGATCCAGAGCCAGGACCCCAGCCTAGGTCTGTGCCCCCTCTCTCCCCTCGTCTTCCGCACGGACGGGTGTGGGCGGAGACTGCGAGGCACCTTCGCGGGACTGCACTAGGGGCCGTGCCGCCTCCAGCCCTTGCAAAGAGCTGAGCTCTACCCTCTGCGCATGCCGGACTCTGCAGGCCTCGGTGGCAGCGCAGTGCATTCGTCCTCGTGAGGCACTCGGGGAGCTGTGCTGTGCACGGGAAGGCTGGGAAGTGCAGTGCCTGGGGCCAGTGGGCGCTGTTGCAGCCCTTAGACACCCTGAGTGGGATTTCAAACCTAAGGCCCGCAGAGTTTAAGACTGGCGGTTTTTCATCATGATTTGGCCTGAACTCGGTCATACAGCTCATCCCAAAGTTCATGCTGAGCGGAAAGCTTGGGTTGGAGAGGAAAGTGCCGAGCTTGGGGACCAGCCTCACCCAGAGCAGGTTGACCTTGCAGGGCTCTCGGTTGGGCCTTGGCCCCGCTTTTGGAACTGCTGTGTGCCACATTTAAGCAAACAGGCATTTGTAAAGTCCGGCGCCGGGCCGCGTCCAGGGTGCCCTTGCAGGCCCCTAACCGCACTGTCTTCTCTCCCCCAGACTACAGTGGTAGTGGAGGCCGAAGCGGTGGGAACAGCTACGGATCAGGCGGGTCGTCCTACAACCCAGGGTCACACGGGGGCTACGGCGGAGGTTCTGGGGGCGGCTCCTCATACCAAGGCAAACAAGGTGGGCCTGGGCAGCACGTGGCACAGCCGGGGGGCACAGAGGTGCTGTGGTGGGGACACACGTGGCAGGAGCGGAGCACCGAGTGGTGGGGCCGCAGCAGCAGTCCCTGTGTGAACCCGGCCTGGGCCACAGCAGCTTCTCAGAAGCCAGAGCTGCCGCGCTCTCGGAAGTGCAGGCTCCTACTCGGAGAGGTGCCGGTGATGGTGAGGGCCCCGCTGAGCTGTGACGTGGAGTGCAAATCTGACTCCGGGTAGTGGGCTCAGGACTCCTGGTTCAGTGACTGGCGAAGTCTCCACTTCCGTCACCGCCCAGGAAGCTAGGGTCACTGTGGCAGTGCTACTCAAGCTGTTAGTGACACCCAGACCCGAGGACAAGTGCGGGACTCAGCAGAGCAAATCAGAAGCCTGCAGGGCTGCCCTGCCGGGAGCTGTCGTGGGGGTGGGCCTTGTCCCCCGCTCTGACCCACCCTCTCTCTCACAGGAGGCTACTCGTCACAGTCCAACTACAACTCCCCCGGCTCCGGCCAGAACTACAGCGGCTCTCCTGGCTCCTACCAGTCCTCACAGGGCGGCTACAGCAGGAACGCAGACCACAGCATGAACTACCAGTACAGATAAAGCCCCGCGCGGGCTGCGGCCTCCACCTTCTGCACTTCCGCCCGCCCGCCAGAGATTGAGTTTGACACATCACAGTTACCACGTCCGCAGGCCCTCCAGGCACCCCACCTGTCCACATTGCTGTGTTGTGAGGTGCAGCGGCCTCCCGGGCCGTGCTGTGACCCCCGTTTAGCTGTGTTTGGGACTCCGTGTCTTCAATGGTTTGTTAGTTGCCATTACAGCCTTGTCTGGGTAGAGTTTTGAGTTCTTGCCGTTCAGTATCCCTCTGTCTATTTACACTTGGTGTTAACGTTGACTCCGTTTGTCTTGAAATAGTTACGGAAGGGATACGTCATCTGTTAATGCTTTTGTGAAGTGAGTTAAATGAGCTTTCTGTATTTTAATGCTTTAGTGTTTCAGTTTTATAAGTGAAGATTTTATTTTAAAAACCAGTGGGAAAGAGTGGGGATTTTTGTATGTCTGGATCATTCAGACAGTGTATCTGAGTGCAGCCGAATGTAGACAAATAAAGAAAAAGTAAAGTGCGTCCGTCCCAGGCCTGCGCGTCCGATCTTCCAGGCGGGCGGTTCTTGTCCTTGGGAAGCAAGGCGAGGATGGCAGGGTGGTCCCCGGTCACTGGGGGGGGCCGCCCCCAGCCATCCTCACCCGGTAGCTAGCCAGGCCCGCTGTCTTCCTACCCAGGGTCTCACTGACCAGAGTCCGCTGGACTTGGCACCGTCCCCTGGCGGTGTTAGGTCTGGGGTGGCCCTCGCTGGCCTTTCGGTGGGATCAAAAAGTGCAGGTCTGCCTCATTTTGCCCTCAAGTTCTGATGTCATTTGTATTGTGATCGCCCATCGTCCTACCGCAGGATGTCCCCGCGGGAGCCACGGCTCTGCTGGCGGTGCTGCCACCTGCAGGACGCCTGCGGCTCCCTCCGAGCCGGCCTCGCGGAGCCCCACACGGGACAGGCCGAGCTCCTTCAGCTCCGAGTGTCTGGACCGCTCCTCCGGGCTTCGCTAGAGCCGCGCTTCCGCCTCCCAAGGGCCGCCTGTAGTGTTGGGGGACCAGAGGGGGCGCCTGGCTTCTCGAGGAGAGGCCCTGGCCGCTGCGCACAAAGAGCGCCTCAGCGCAGGCGCTGCGCCGAAGCGTGGGGCGGAGAAACCCGTCTGGGACACCTGGCCCACCCTGCCTGCCCCGGAGAGAGGTGGGCGACGGTGACAGCAGCAGCAGCAGCGCCCTAATGGCTTCTGTCCGGGAAGAGCCTGCGCACCCCTCAGCACACGCCGTCCTTGCCATCTCGCACCTGTGAGGCCTGGACTGCACCCCAGGCGCCCTTGGCCTGCCCTCCTGGTGACCACTCTGGGAAAGCAGGGACCCTGTGCCCAAGGAGCTCTGCGTGCCCCGAAGGCCAGGCGAAGATGGGCGCTGGTGAAGGGAGACTTTGTGCCCTAAGACGGGAAGTGTGGTCCTATCGGCTGCTGCAGAGGACGCCCAGCCTGGGGAGCGGGGTGGGGGGGAAGGGGAGCTCACAGTGACACCGTTCAAGGGCCCATGGGTGCCGCGACCCCACCACGGCACATAGTGGAGGGATGGGCCCCGGCCAGACGTAGCTGAAACGGGCTCATGGTTCTCCTGGACACGGTCAGGACCAGGCGAGACGAAGACTGCATGTCAAGAGTGAGAAGACGCCAGTGGGGGCTGTGTCACCTGACGCGCACAGCAAGGAACGGACGTGGCTCCCAGCCAAGCTCTGCCCAGCCCTCGCGTCGCCTGCGCCAGCCTTCCCTTAAAATTTCAGCCCCAGACCTGCGATGACGTACGGGGTTCCACTCGCTGCACCCCATCCAGGGCTCACGCCTGCCCTGCTGCGTGGGAGGCACCTGCTCCGAAGGGACAGCAGCGCTCGTCCTTGGCATTCTGAGCCCGCTTGGGGACCTTACTGGTGCTGAGGGTCTTGTGATGCCTGGGACCAGTGGCACTGTCTCAGTCCTCAGGACCTGCTTCGCCAACAAGCTGGGGTGCTCTGCCACCTCTGCCCGGAGCAGCTGGCAGGAGGTGGCTTGTGGCGGAGACTGGCCGGGGTCAGGGTGCTTTAGGTAGATGGAGTCTTGCATCCGGAGTGACCGCAGAGGCCACGAGGAGGGCTGTAGACCCCACCGCAGAAGGCTCGAGGCGCCTGGCAGTGAGGGAGCGGGGAGAGCATAGTCTGGCTGAGGGGGTGTTGGTGACATCTCGGAGGGCCCGGGGTTTCCAGCTCCCCTGTAGGCAGTGCTCTGAGGGGCCTCGCCCAGTGGCTGATGAGCCTGTGCCTGGCAGGGAAGCAGCCATTTCCCTACAGTGCTCACCCGTGCGCCGCTGGCAGGACCCGTCACCCCCAGAAGTCATCCCGCCTGGCTCTGCCGCCAGGGTGTGGCCTCCACGTTCACCTGACCTCACAGGTCTGAGACCCCTGGACGCAGCAGGCCTCCGGAGGCTCCGGTGCTCCAACATCCCCGAATAAACGCTTTCTGAGTGTTTCGTGCAGTCACCGTACGTGTGCTCTGGGGCACTTCTGGGTCGGGTCCTGTGCCGGGAGTCGGCGGTGAACGCGGGCCCTGCGCTGTGTCGCCTCCGGGAGGGAGCCAGGCGGTCCTGCGTGCTGGGCGCCGGTCCGGACTGTTTCCGTCCCGAGCGAGCGGGGCCGCGGGGCGGGGGAAGGCGGCGCCTGGCCGAGGGAGCAGCGCGGGCGGGTGCACACAGGTTTCCAGGAGCGGCAGCTGGCGGGTGAGGACGCCTTTTCTCTGAGTTAGCCAGAGCAGCGCCTGCCGGGCAGAGGAGTGCACGGGCTAGGATAGAACTGAGCCCGCGATGCCGAGGGAACAGCAGCGAAGGCCTGCAACCCCAGAGGAGGCAGGGATGGGGATCCTAGAGTCCCCGACCCGTCCCACGCGGGGTGCTGAGCGACCCCCTGGGCCAAGTTTTCAGAAACCTTCGGCCCAGCCTCTGTAAACGCCACCCCTCCAGGCCTCCGTCAGCTAGTCCCCAGGCCTCCCGTGCGGTGTGCGCTGCCCTTCCAACCCAGTGAACAGCTCCCCGGCATGCACAGCCCTGGGGACTCAGCCGGCTTCGCACTGGGCCATCAGCAAACTCAACGAGACCCTTGAAGGTCCCGCCCTATAGGGTGTGACCTAGGCGGGGAGCATGCAGTTCCCACCAGGGAGTTGTGAAGCCACGCCCTGTAGGGCGTGCCCTGTGCGCTTCTAATAGGACACTTCCTCAGGCTCCGCCCCCAGGGCTATCTCGTCCTTGGTATCCTAGTAACGTGCGTGGCGCTGTCCGTTGTCCTGAAGCCGCGCTTCCCTAGCTTCTTCCAAGGGCGGACTCGGGGCGCCCCAGCTCCGGCATCTGAACCACGCTAACGCTAAAGACAGTGCCACTGAGCCTCTTCCGCTGCACTCTCTCCATGCTTTAACTTACCCCTCGGTAAGAGAGTTCATCTCTCTCCTCCCTCCCCTAAATACGCTCCACCCTCCCATAAATCAAACTTACCTCCGCGGATGCAGAGACCTCGAAGACCTCCCGCGTTCACCTCCATGCCGTCATGGCCCGCCTCGCAACTCAACCTCTCCGGCCGCACCGTCTTCCTCTTTGCACTGCATCCTACTCAACAGACATCTCAAAACTCCTCTCCTTCCCTGTTCTTCCTGACGTCTCTGTCTCCTTTATTGTTTTCACTGGAGGGCATGGCTTTTGTTTGTTCATAATGTGTTGACTGTACGTTCCTGAGTGTGTTTGGCTTTTTTTTTGAGAGAGAGAAAGAGGGTCTCCCTATGTACCCCAGGCTGGTCTCCAAGTTGTAATCCTCCTGCCTCAGCCTCCCAAGTGTTGAAATTACAGGCGTGCACCACTATGCCCAGAACCCTGTGTAAATTCGCAATGGTTCTTAGCTTTCATTTTTTTTATTCTTCAGCACTGCAGACTGAATCATAACTTTCAGAGACAGGGTCGCTTACGAAACCGAGGGTCGCCTCAGACTCTTGCTCCTGCTAGTACTGCAGGGGAGTGCCACCCCAGCAGCTACTCAGTAAATAAGTGCGTGGCCACGTGCTTGGTACATAACGAGCAACCAATCAACTGTAACTTATTATCATTTGTACTATTGCAGTGAATGGATCTGAGATTATTTAGTGCAATCAAGTAGAGGTTAATAAAGTGCAACCAGTACAGGTCAATGAAACATGGAAGCAGAAAAAGAAGTTATCAGAAAGATGTTAAGGACTGGAGGGTGAAGCTCAGGGTCTGGTAGATGCTTAGCAGGTAAGAGACCATGGAGAGACACACATTGCAGTTGGCGCTGCATGCCTCAGGTGCACTATCCAAGTGCTCTACCATTGAGTCACACTCCCAACTCCACAAAACGTATTTATAAGAAAGTGTTGAGAATACCCTGTGCACACATAGTTGAGTGTGATGGATAAGAAAACACCCTAAAAAAAAAACAAAAAGAAAGAAAACACCCTAATAAACCAGGTGTGGTGGCACATGTATGTAATTCCCCCACTCTGGGAGGCTGAGGCAGGAGGATTACAAGTTCAAGTCCAACCCGGTTAATGTAGTAACTTAGCAGGACTGTCTGAAAATACAAAAGGGCTAAAAGGGCTGGGGATGTAGATCAGTGCAAAGGCTCTGGATTCAACTTCTGGGAATAATAAACAAATAAGTAGGTAAGTAAAAAAAAAGTAAATAATAAAAACTTTTGGAAGCAGAGCTGCTAGAATTTGCTAACATATCACATATGGAAAGTGAGAGATGCTGTCAGTGAGGGGAAGTACATTTGACAGGGCAAGAAAGGCCCCATTTTCTTCTCAGAATTTCATTTTAAAAATTAAACTGCCAAAAACAAAGTAAAATCAAACTCCCTTAAACTTTAGATGAACTCACCCTTGTTCCCCAAATGATATGTTAAGCAGTTTCCATTTGTAGGCAGTTACTATTTCTGATAAATGCTGTTTCTGACAAAAGCTGTAATGACCCCATGACTATGACTACCACCACGTGATTAGATAAACTCTGTACTCTGCCTTTCTGGAAACTACCAGCTACTTTTAGAAACTGGACCGACTACCATGTAAACCGATGTTTTCCTACCCTTGGGGTTGATGCCTCTGCGTGGCAGCAGGTGGGGTATCATCTTCGTGCTAAGTAAAACCCTGCTTGTTCCCATCTCTCAGCCTCTGTGAGAGTCTGGCTACTTGCCATAACACATTGACGATTAGGTCTCTCCTACCTACTCAGCTTCAGGATTTTATACACAATTATTTCAGACTAGAAGCTGGTTCTGTTGCCATGTTCTTTTCTTTTTCTTTTTTTTTTTTTTTCTTTTTGAGACAGGGTCTCGCTGTGCAGCTCAGGCTGGCCTCAAACTAGCAACAATCCTCCTGCCTAAGCCTCCCGAGTGCTGGGATTACAGATGTGTGCCACCACACCTGGCCTTAGCCATTTTCAAATTTTATTTTGGGGCAGGGTCTCACTAAGCTGTCCAGGCAGCCCTTGAAATTTTGCTCCTCCTCGCTCAGCCTTGTGGGCACTTGAGATTCCAGGCAAGTGTCACTGTGCCTGACAGACACACAAAGCTTTGCTGACCGCAGATGTGCAGTGCTGTCTAGATAGAAGCTGTAAAGAAGAAGTCAAGAGTTCCAAAAGATCTGGGCATTGTCAATATACAGAGGCTTTAAAAGCATATCTGGCCGGGCATGGTGGCACACGCCTGTAATCCCAGCACTTGGGAGGCTGAGGCAGGAGGATCATTGTGAGTTCAAGACCAGCCTGGGCTACAAAGTGAGCTCAAGGCCAGTCTGAACTGCATAGGGAGACCCTGTCTCAAAAAGACAAAAAAAAAAAAAAAAAAAAAAAAGAAAAAGAAAGAAAGAAAAAAGAAAAAGCATATCTGAAGCTGAAGAGGTTGGTCAGAGAAAAGTAAGGAACTATTTGGTTTTTTTTGTTTGTTTGTTTTTTTCCAGTACTGGGAATCGCACTCACGACGTTGCACTTGCCAGGCAGGTGCTGTGCCGCTGAGCTAAATCCTCAGCCCAAGCTAAATCCCCAGACCCAGTGCAAGGTAAGGAATTTGCCAAGCGCACAGGAGCTCCTGGGTTAGACCCCAGCACCACCCAAAAAACAAAAAGTATCAATTCTAGGTGATGTGACGTAAAGCAATTTTTTTTTTTTTGTCTTTTATTGAGATAGGGCATGCACCACCACAGCTGGCTTTTGAGTGTTTTTAAGATTGGATAGAGATGCAGGGCATTGTGGTGCACCTTGTAATTCCACCATTCAGGAGGCTGAGGCAGGAGGATTTCCATGAGTTTGAGGTCAGCCTGGGTTACCTAATGAGTTCAAGGCCAGCCTAAACTACATAGCAAGACTCTTTATCACACTTCTCCCAAATAAGATTGGACAGAGACGTTAGAATTTTCCACACTGAAAAATACTGGGAAGTAGGTTATGATGTAGCTCGGTGGTAGAGTTTGCCTAACATGCGTGAGGCCCTGGGTTCAATCTCAAGCACTGGACACACATACACAAATAGAATAATTGAATTTTTTAAAATACCGGGAAGTCATACATGGAGAATTCAGAGAGGGCACATATTTCAGACCATGACAACAGTAATTGCAAAGGCCTGGAGTGAAGCTCCTGGGTGGATATTTGAGAAGTTTGTTCTCAGCGAGGGTTCCCGCACCTCGAGAACCTGGCATCATTAGCCATTGTTACGAATAACTGGGTTGAGGGTCCCAGAGAGCTCGCCTTTCGCCCAGCAGCTCAGGTTAGGACAGCTGTCCTCCGAGTGCAAGTGTTTTGGGGCAATGGCGCTCTCTGCTGGCCAGGATCAGCCCCATTTCAACAATATCGATTATATATTAGGTATTATTATTCATGGAATACACCTAGACCTCGATGAATCTGTGACTCAGTCTCCCTGAGTCCCAGGGGCATGCAGGCAGGTCCAGCGGGGATTTTTATTTATTTATTTATTTATTTATTTTTCTCCAGTACCGGGAACCGAACTCACGACCTTGCGCTTGCCAGGCAGGCGCTTTTGCCGCTGAGCTAAATCCCCAGCCCACCAGCGGGGATTTTTATATAGGTACATACTGAATGAATGAACTCACCAATGGAGACAGGCTCTGGGCTCCGGCCTTCTCTGTAAACCTGGAATTCCTTTTCATCGAGTAAACATGATTACTGAGCATTTACTATGTTCTAGGAACTGGCCTCAGCTCTTGGGACGACGGACAAACAAGATAAGACAAAATCCTTTACTAAGCCTCGTGTACCAGCACCCTTCTCATTAAATCTGTACAGTGTCCTTAGGCTGCGAGGCTCTAATTCCTAGCACTTTAGGCAGGAGAAAATCTTGGATCAGAGAGGCTTTCATTGTAGATCGAAAAGTAGCGCTGATGAGATTTGTAGATGGCCAGTTTGAGTTTTCGCGATAGCGAGCGAGGGAGACAGAACTAGTCCCTGGAGTGGACCAGCAGAAGCGTCGGTTGCCATGGTCCCCAGACGCTCTCCTGGGGCGTCGACCCCGCCCTTATATCACGTGATCAAAACAACATGGCGTCGCCCACCGTGTCCCGCAGCTCACGTGGTTCCAGGAAACAAGATGGCGACAGGGCTTGCTTCGCCCGCTTCCCTGGAGTCGGCCCCGCGGATCATGCGGCTGGTGGCCGAGTGCACTCTCTCCAGGGCCCGCGCGGGCGAGCTGCGGCTGTCGCACGGGCCGGTTGCCACTCCCGTGTTCATGCCAGTGGGCACTCAGGCCACCATGAAGGGCATCACAACCGAGCAGCTGGATGCTCTGGGCTGCCGCATCTGTTTGGGCAACACCTACCACCTGGGGCTGAGGCCGGTGGGTGGACTTTGGCCCGGGAGGGCAGCGGAGCACGGCGTGGGGGGCCCTCGGGCGTTGCCCAAGTCTGGGCACAACTCCAAAAGTTCAAGGAGAGAGGGGGAAGGAGCACCCTGGGGCGCCCGGGCCCCGTGCTGGGCGCATTGCAGCTGCCGTGATTGAAGCCGGCCAGCGCCGTCCCCAGCATGAGACACGTAAGTCCCGCTCACCAGTGGCCACTTTCCTGCCCCAACCCAGGGCCCTGAGCTGATCCAGAAAGCCCACGGTCTCCATGGCTTCATGAACTGGCCTCACAATCTACTGACGGTGAGTGGCGTTGGGGCCGGGAATCCGAAGGTGTTATAGTCTGTAATACCAGCACTCAGGAGGCTGAGGCAGGAGTGTCTCCGCGAGTTTGAGGCCAACCTGGGCTACATAATAAAATTCAAGGCCAGCCTGAACTACATAACAAGGCCCTGTCTCAAAAAAAAAAAAAAAAAACAATAAAAATTCCAAAGACACTTTCCTGGGGTGAAGAGCCCGGCATCCCCACTCCCTGACAACCCTGCGGTGGGGTTTCTCCCAGGACAGTGGCGGCTTCCAGATGGTGTCCCTAGTGGCCCTGTCTGAGGTGACGGAGGAGGGTGTCCGATTCCGCTCCCCTTATGATGGTGAAGAGACCCTTCTGAGCCCCGAGAGGTCCGTGGAGATCCAGAACGCGCTGGGTGAGCAGAGCGGGGAGCGGCCCTTTTCTTCCCGTGTGGTAGGGGTGCAAGCTGAGGGACCCTGCTCCCTGTCCACTGCGGATTTGGGGGGAGTCGCCAACTGAAATCGGGGAAATGAATCCAAGTCGGTGAATCTCTTAGCACAGTGCCTGATACAGTTTAGGTTTTACTTTCTTTCCTTTTCTTTGTATTTCTTTCTTTTTTTGGTAATGGAAATTGAACCTTGAACAAAGATACATTTTGCATACATTTTTGTATAAAAATGTGTGCAGTAAACAATGCTCTTATTCTTCTCCATCTAGTTTCCTGTAGGGTCACAGCGCTTACTAGTTTCTTTCTTTTGTGTGTCCCCCCACCCATACCAGGAATCGAACTCACGACCTTGCACTTGCCAGGCAGGCGCTGTGACGCTGAGCTAAATCTGCAGCCCCTCTTTTATGTTTTTAGAGACAGGATCTCAGCTTTGTATCGCAGGCTGCTCTTGAACTCTCTTGATCCTCCTGCCTCAGCCTCCCCAGTGCTGGGATTACAGGCGTACCACCACCACACCTGGCACATTCTGAGATTTTCTTCTATGTAACAGAACAAGATTTGATTTTTATTGACTTTGTGCATGTGTGGGTTGTTTGGAGGGGTCCCAGGAGGTGAACCCAGGGGCTTTTCACTGGGTTATACCCCTAGCCTTTCATCTTTAAAATTTTGAGAGTGTCTCAATAGTTCACTAAATTGCCCAGTGTATCGGTCACTTTCCCATCACACCAGGACAAAATACCTGACACCCACACTTAGAGTAGGACAGATTTGTTTCGGCCCATGGTTTCTGTGGGTTCGGTCCATGTTTGGTTGACTCCAAGGCAGAAGCAAAGTGGCCCAGGGCTGTGGAGGAGGAAAGCTATTCAACCTAGGCCAGCTGGGAAGCAGAGGAAGAAGGGAGGAGCCGGAGAGGTCAGCACTTCCAGCTTTGAAGGCGTCAGTGGATGAATCCACTGAGGAGTACAGTACCCTCCTGTTCCAGTCACCTTCCAGCACATGAGACCCTTAGGGGGACATTTCAGATCTGAACACCCAGGCTGGGCTTGGCCTGTAAGCCTCCTGCCTCAGTCTCCCAGAGTGTTGGGATTACAGGCCTGTGGTACTACATCCAGCTTCTGAACAGGGTTTTGGTTTTTGGTTTTTTGAGGCAGGGTCTCGCTGTGCAGTTTAGGCTGGTCTTGAAACACACTTTGCAACCAGGGTCTGGAACTGGCTGGTCTCAAACTTGCAGCAGTTATCCTGCCTCAGCCTCCCAAGAGATGGGATTACAGATCCAGGCCCCTCACTCCCAGCTTAGATGCACGTTGTTGTTTTTTTTTTTTTTTGTCTTTTTTGAGACAGGGTCTCCCTATTCAGTTCCCATTGGCCTCGAGCTCAGTTTGTAGCCCAGGCTGGCCTTGAACTTGCAACAATCCTCCTGCCTCAGCCTCCCGAGTGCTGGGATTACAGGTGTGCGCCACCACACCCGGCTAGATGCACATTTTGAAAAGCTCCCTCTGAATCTTAGAGCTTGGGCGGCTGAGACAGGAAGATCAAGAGCTCAAGACCAGCCTGAGCTACGTAGTAAGTTCACAGCCAACCTTGGCTACACAGGGAGACTGTTTAAAAAAACCTCTGTTGACCTGCTTCATAACTAATCTGGGACAGCCCCGTGGGAGTCAGCAGTGCCTGCGAGGGGCACCTGGGCCCATCTGCCCCCCAGAGGTGGGCATCCTCCCAGTGACCGTGCCCCGTCTCACCGTCAGGCTCGGACATCATCATGCAGCTGGATGATGTGGTCAGCAGCACCGTGACCGGCCCGCGTGTGGAAGAGGCCATGCACAGGTGGGCACAGGTGGTGAAGGCCTCGGTCCTGCGGCCTTGTCCCCCGCCCTGAGGAGCTGGTGACCCGGGCCCTCTTGCAGGTCTGTCCGCTGGCTGGACAGGTGCATCGCAGCCCATCGGCGGCCCGACACGCAGAACCTCTTCGCCATCATCCAGGGCGGGCTGGACGCCAGCCTCCGGGCCACCTGCCTCGAAGGTAAATCTGCTTACTGGCAGGACCAGGGCTTGTCCCCGGCTGAGGCTGCCCGCGGGCTGGGAGTGCGATGCTGGTCGCGCAGAGCTCGCTAGTGGGGAACAGCGCGCAATGGGAATGATTCTAATAGTTAGTACTGCTTGGGTGCTGTGCCTTTTTTTTTTGTCTTTGTGAGACAGGGTCTCGCTATGCAGTTCAGGCTGGCCTTGAGCTCACTTTGTAGCCCAGGCTGGTCTCGAACTCACAACTATCCTCCTGCCTCAGCCTCCCTAGTGCTGGGATTACAGGCATGGGCCACCACGTCCAGCTTGGGTGTTGTGCCTTTGTTTTCTTCTTTTTACTTTTCTCCTCTTCCTTCTTCTTCTTCTTCTTCTT